TAATAACAATTCACATTACATAAGAGCACAAGTATTGTTTATGAGTTGGAATACTTTGATTGAGTTGAGAATTGTTTGATTGATCGACTTGGGAATATTATCCAGTGCTGGTTGAGTGTCAGAAAATTATGTCCTTAAATAGCCACCTATAAAATGTTTCTAGTTCTATTTCCTGTAGCTACTTTATATATTTCATTATCTTTTTGTATGGACATATGATAACTGATTTCAAGCACCATGTTTCATGCCATGTGAACAAAAATGTAGTATAGCAGTTTTAACATTCTGGCTAAAATAGTTATCTGGCCAACATTGAGATATAAATACTGATAGTTTTGGTGGAGATAACATTACCATCATGTAACATAGTCAGGGGAAAAATTCTCTAATCCTTACATCTGCTTTGTTTTGTTTTAGATGTTTAACATTGAATGATATTACATGTATTGCATTTTATTATATTATATTGTAGTAAAGTATGAACATCTGATCATTATAGTGTGGTATAAAGCAATATGCTATATGCTTGTGATGTTACTCTGAGTGTGTATCCACACCGGTGTTACTCTGAGTGTGTATCCACACACTCTGAGTGTGTATCCACACACACTGTGCCCGATGCATATTTTTGTATTCAAGCCTGCCCGGTGTGGATACACACTCAGAGTAACATCACAGGCATCTTATTCACCTGAGTACACTACACCAACACAACAAATATCATAATATATGCTATATATTGAATTTTTTACAACAACTAGGTAAAACAGTAATAACACTTTTGTCTTAATTGATGCCGTGCAACAGATACTGCCAAGATGTGGTTCACACCAGCAACTTTCTACACAATTTGTATTGTAACTATTGTTCACACTAGCAACTTTCTTCAGGACTGTGATCATGTTTTTCAAATAAATGTCACAACAGAAAATACAGTTACTATTGTATTTTCATCAATGTTCCTACATGTATCATGAGAAGAAATTTGCCAAGAAAATTGCTAGTGCGAGTAAGGGTTAATGACAATGTTTAGAACATCTGACTCAAAACAATTTCTTGGAACAACAGTATTCTACATATACAATGTTATCTTGATCTAACAGAGCACATATTTTCTTCCTGCCGGCGTGGGGAACCCGGAACACAATGTCTACAGTTGCAGCAGTCCAGATTTTGGTGGGTGTAGCCATGAATATGGTGGTGGTGATGTGCAAATTTTTCCATGAATGAGAACCTACAGTATCAATGTTTCCAAAAAAAAGATTTACATGGGGTATATACCCTTTAAAAAGATTACACTATGCATTTTTTGAAGGTTCACAAACAATGCCATGTCATTCAACATTGTACATTTTTGTCCAGTGCAGTAGTGATATTAATTTTAATATGCAATCACACAAAAGTGCTATACAGTACCAACATACAGTACAGTACAATCATGTCCGATGTAAAAAAATATATGCTGCTATCAAAAAGTTCATCTGGAGATGCCTGATTATGAATTACAAAACAATAATCATCCAATAACTCAATCCCAGTAGCATTTTGATAACAGCTCACCATATAAAGATGAAATCAGTTTTATCCTTGACTGAATCTAGTACTGAGGTGATTAAATTAGATTTCAAGTACTATATTAGTCTATACAATTGTCTTGAACAAGTTGAACTATAAAACTCAGAGATCCCATACTTTCTCAAACAGTAAATGAATGTAATTGCCCTAGCTTAAAAATTGTCACAAATTCACAGCGAATTAGAGATCCAGTCTCGACTCAGGAGAACGAAATAATCAAATGTATTAAACAAATATTTACCTTTATATGTACGACATGGCGAAGCGCTTGACTGAATTTCAAATAAACACACTTTAAAGGCATCCTTGTTGGCGTAATATTCTTTCCTTCTTCTCATATTGTTTCAATGATTTGTTATTAATCGGATTTCACTTCATAAAAGTCACAAATCGTTGAAAATCTCTTCGAAACTGTGTATTCCCACTCCTTGTATCAACAAATATAGAATCGCGCGTATATTACGCAATCGGACTGGAAACCATGGAAACGAAAGATAAGTAGTCTACCAAAACAAAAAGAATCGCACATGCGCAGCACGGACTGTAACCCGTCTTTAAAATATTAAAATTGTTAGAAATGCTGTTATTAAAACTTTATATTTTATAATAACATAGATCGCCGTCGATGTGCTGTTGCTTTGAAATTGGCAATATATAAATAGTGCCGGAATATATTGGACCTCACTATTTTGAGGGTCTGAATGGGGGGTTGTGCATGTCAGTTGTCAGTTAAAATTTAGCTTGTTTGTCAGCTATCAGTTAATATTTTGGCGTGTCAGTTAAACACAGTTAATAATTAACTTGCCAAATTCTGTTTGGGTAATTAGTCGTTTTTATAAAAACTTGATTAAATGTGCTTTATTTTGTATGCTATATATAACATATGAGACATATATATATATATATATATATATATATATATATATATATATATATATATATATATATATATATATATATATATATCTCACAAATCCAGGCGTAGAATCGCTTTAACAGCTCTTCAACATGGAGTTATGATAAACTTCAATAAGTGTTACTTAAAGTGTCTTCTAAGTGCACCACGGGAGTCCGCTGGCATATGCAGAGTCTGCAGTCAGCTCAGCTATCCCTTTGAGTCCTTTGACGGTCTCTGAAAACCCTTTGAGTCCTTTAAGTCCGTTAATAGTTTTATTTAAAGTCTGAATTTTTTCTGACTTTCACGAATTTTATGTGTTTTATGGCGATTAATTCGATCTTTTATTCGGATTTCTAATTTACCCCTGATCAAAGAGGCCGAAGTATGGAAAAAAGTCCAATCAAACTTCAATTGTCAGTTAACAGTAAAGTTTTACTTGTCAGTAAACAGTTAAAAAAATCGTTATTTGTCAGTTAACAGTTATCTTTAAGGCCGTTTGTCAGTTGTCAGTTAACCCCATTCAGACCCTCTATTTTGGCGCCAAATATCGAAATAAAATTTGCATATTTTTATACATATTAAAATAATAATATTAACATATTTAAATCATTAAACATTTACATACAAACCTTGATCAAGGATCCCTGCAACCAGATCATTATAAACATCATTTAAAGAAAAATTGTCTGGAACTCGTACGCCTATCCAGGGCTTCAAAACTTGTGTTCCAGCTCGTATTTGAACGACAACGAAAGGCATGTTGAAACAATATGGCCGCCAATGTTCGGTTTCCGACTACTTCCGACCAATTCCGATTTAATAATAATAAAAAAATTATTCCGGGCGGCCAATTTTTCAGGGGCGGGCGGCGATGAAAAACTGAAAATTATTTTTAATTGGCCTAAAGGCCGTGTTTACACTATGACGCTACGGCTAAACACTCCGTTAAAAAATTACTACGTTTCTAGTATTGAGACTATGTTGTGTTTACACTATAACGGAGTGGTTTGCCATAGCGTACTAACTACGGAATTATATTGTGTTTACACTATACGGAGTGGGTTGCCGTAGCGTATTAACTGCGGAAATCAATTTCGTTAAAAATTCACTACGTTTCTTAGTATTGTGTTTACACTATAACGGAGTGGTTTGCCGTAGCGTATTAACTACACACCACTACGTTTGGCACTCCGGATGCAAATCACTACGCTACGGTAAATTTGCCGTAGCGTCGTAGTGTAAACGCGGCCTAATTTCTACACATAACATTTCCAACGAGCATGCCGTTTGTAAGTCATTCCGTTCGCTAAAAGGAATAGTCTCCCGAATATACATCAATACTCCGCCTCCGTGTCTGTTGCGATCTTTTCGAATTAGATGAAAACCACTAACGCTTATTTCATCATTCGAAACCGACTCATTAATTTTAGATTCATTGATAGCTAAGATATCTAGAGGATTATTTAGCATAATTACGCGGAGTTCGTCAATGTGCTTTGAGAGGCTATTAATATTTAAGCATGCAATTTTTAACCCTTTCAAATTGTTTAAGTCAATAAGGGAGAATTGATTATTAATATTATTGTTATCATCACTACTTATCTTGATTGGGTCACACCAAGGTTCTGTCAGGACCTCCTTGAACGGTTGTTGTGATCTTTGGGGACTCAACATCATACTAAGAATGTCCTCCAGAAAGCTCAGCCGTGCTGTTTTGTTGAGAAAATCCTGGTTGCGTCTTTGTTTTGGGCCAGTAGTGGGAACAAAGAGACAGTGTTTCCTCGTAAAAATTTAATAAAATTGGCAGCCAAGTATGCAGAACCTTTAGCATTTAAATGTAACAGACTACCGTTCAAGCATGAACTGTCCAGGTTTCGACAAGTTCCGATTATCTATAAATTTAAACTCGTTCTTCGTGCAGAATACTTGAAGCCCATCGTTGACTTTTGCGATCTGCTCTCCCAAATTTAGATCACGCCTTAACGTGATACTAGAAATACCAATTTATTGTAGAATTTGGAAACTTCTTATTAAGAGCATATGTCTGTAACGGTCGAGAAACTCGGGACAGTTGCGAAAAATCATACTTGAATTTATTTCACTAAAATAACCCTTCTGGATAGGTATTTCAGAAAATATGATCGAAAAGTCGCAGCGCGATTTCATTTTTATAAAATTTCAAAAGTTTAATAAATCGGTTAAAATGTTGTTTTTTTCCCAATTAATATGCACGAATTGAGAGCCAACTTAAACAATAGAAAGACGACATGGAAAACAATCAATCCAAACCATCTTTAGCATGAAGCTAACTTAATATTGTAGAGTTTGCTATCTATATACTTATCGATATTTGTTTACAAGATTTTTGGCTTCTTTATGCGAAGGCAATAGCAAAGACTGCGAGTTTTGTTTCTTGTTTTAGTACGTCGATTCAATTTTATTTTATGTACTGTCCAATACGCCACTGTTTCTATCACAATAGCAATCTCTTTTAAATGATTTAAACTACCTTCGGATAAATTTATCCAACGGATAGTGCATTTTTATCCGTTGGATAGTGCTATCCAAGCTCGTACAACGCGATTTTCACTCCAGATAAAATTTATCCGCTGGATAGCGACTTATCCACCGGATAGCGATTCTGATCCACCATTCGTACAACCGGCCCCTGTAGTTTATATAAACAGCTGCATTGTTTATGGCTTTGATATTGTCTATGACTATCACTATCACTATCAGCTACGAAAATACGAATTGAGAATACTTTTTAAGCGTTGAAATAGTGAAGTATATTTCATCGGTTTCAGTATATATTAGCAATGTTTTTGCCTTTATTGTAATTTCACATGTAAAATTGTATTATGATCAGTTACATATACGATAAATAAAATGATCTAAAGTACTTTGAAGCGAGTGTTTTTTGCATTTTGAATTCTGATGTGTGAAAACACGCGGGAATAACGAGTGCATGTTTAATCGTTGGTTGTCATGTCAACTGCGGACTTGCTGCAAGTCTGTTATCATCGCCATTGCTGCAGCTCTGTCGACATCAAATTGCTGCAAGTCTGTTGTTATCGCCATTGCGACAGGTCTGTCGACACCAAATTGCAGCAAGCCTGTTGTCGTGCTGATGCGGGCAAGTATCGTCAAGCCGCAACAAGCCGAGCGAACGCTTCTGAGATGGGGCTTGATGGCAGCAATTCGCATGCGGCCTGATGACCGACTTGCTGCAAGTTGCGCGAACTTGGCCGTGTAACATACGAGTAACACACAAGTACATACGAGTAACATACGAGTAACACACGAGTACATACGAGTAACACACGAGTACATACGAGTAACACACGAGTACATACGAGTAACATACGAGTACATACGAGTAACACACGAGTACATACGAGTACATACGAGTATAATATGAGTACATACGAGTAGTAAACTTGTTTTTAGTGTTTGTAGATTGAATACAGGCAAAAGATCTTCTCTGTCGAAAAACGTGGAATGGGGGAACGGGGGAATGGAGGAACGGGGAATGGAGGAACGGGGGAATGGAGGAACGGGGAATGGAGGAACGGGCAATGAGGGAATGGAGGAACGGAAAATGGGAGAACGGGGAATGCGGGAACGGGGAATGGTGGGGCGAGGGGGGGGGGAGGAAATAGGGGCGGGGGAGGTCTGCCCGATTCTATAAACCACAACTTTGTAGTTTGTACAACATCTACTTTTAGGTATTCTACCTAGATAGTTAGATACATGACACAAACCAGAGGCTTCACATATTTCACGGCATGGTTTGCTTTCAAAACCCTGTGAGCATGCACATAACCTAACTGCATCTACTAGTAAATAGTACTAGGTGATAAACTTACAATCCTCACATAGCCTCAATCACAACATGTGGCTAGGAAAATATACGAACTACACAGTTAACTTATACCGTGACGACATACGACAGTTCCGAGACCGAAATACAGGACAACAGGACCCTTTTTAAGGATTTTCCCGTGGGGGGCATTTTTTGAAAAGGGACCTTTCTGTGAGATAATATATTAGAGGGGGATAGCAATGGCCGACGGCCACGTGTGTGGCCGACATACTCCCCCAGAAAATGTTTTAAATTTGAACCTTTCAAATGCCATTTCCTGCTTTATGAGCATCTAAATTTGCTCTAAAATTTATGCTAATTATACTTGTATTTGAAATAAAACAAGGAAAAAATGCAGAAAAAATAAAAGAAATATTAACAATAATTTATCCATTACTTATTATTAAAGGGAGATAGCAATGGCCGTGGGTCACGTGTGTGGCCGACATACCGTGAACGAATAGGGGGGTCTGGGGGCATACTTCAGCCCAAAAATGCCATTTCCTGGCTTCTGAGCATCCAAATTTGCTAACTATACTTCTATTTGAAATAAAAGAAAGAAAAAACGCACAAAGAATTTAAAAATATTAACAATAATTTATCATTACTTAGTGTTAGAAACACGTAGGATGCGCACGCGGTGACACAGTCCTTTAAATCGATTCGTTAAACAAGGACAAAGGATAAAGCCTAAAACTTACGTTCCGTTTATCAATTTGTTATTCTTCGCTGGTTTGTTTGTATAAATTTAGGAAAAGGGACTTTTTCTGGGAGGGGTGCAAAATGTGATTTCGTGTGGGGGGGGCACAAGGGGGGACTGGGGGTGGGGCAAATGGCCCCCCAGCTTGTATGTTAAAAAAGGCCCTGCAGGACAAATCCAGTTTTCAAGTGAGCCTCAGAACGTGCATTTTCATTTCCGATCAGCCTGCATCAGAGCAAAGTATCCAAGCTTTCTTGGCGACGTTCTCGTTCCTCCAGACTTTTCTTCCCTTTTCAAAGTGGAGCAGGTCCAAAGGCTTGCAGGAGAGTTCGGCTGGGTCCTTTAGAAACGTACTTGCCAACTTAAATTGCTAGCTTAAAATCTGCGTATTTTGAAGTATTTTGTGTTTTGTTAGTTTTGCTTTGTAAGATATTTAAAATAGGATAATCACTTTAAGATGTCATGTGGAGCATAAGGACTGCCTTGGGCTTGCATCCAGTTCTTAAGTTTGCTTTATTATATAGCAAGTATATTAGTAATGACATAAGCAATGTTATTATTATTGATATTACTTAATGAACGGACATAAGCAATGTGGATTGACCTTTTTATTATACGCTGTACTAATAAAGGAAAGCTTCGCTAAATTTCTTTACTAGTTTTAATTCATTGCATGAGCGGTTTTCTAATTCCCAAGACACCAGAGTCCGTTTTATCGTTTCGTAATTCCCCAATTCCCGTTTATCCTATCGGATTTCTGTTTCTTTTTTCTGTTCTTCCCCCCCCCGTACATATGATTAATATTAAGTATTAATAATAATTCATAATTCCCCGATTCCCCTGTCCCCCCCGTTTTTCGTTCCCCCGTTCCCGCATTCCCCGTTCTCCCATTGCCCGTTCTCCATTCCCCGTTCCTCCATTCCCCCATTCCACGTTTTTCGACAGAGAAGACGATCTTTTTGCCTGTATTCAATCTACAAACACTAAAAACAAGTTTACTACTCGTATTCTACTCGTATGTACTCGTATTATACTCGTATGTACTCGTATGTACTTGTGTTTTACTCGTATGTATATTCGTGTTTTACTCGTATGTACTCGTGTGTTACTCGTATGTACTCGTATGTTACTCGTATGTACTCGTGTGTTACTCGTATGTACTTGTGTGTTACTCGTATGTTACTCGTATGTTACTCGTATGTACTCGTGTGGTGTTTTAGTCACGATCGAAAAAGACAGGATTGATCGTAGCCGTTGGCTCACGTAAGTATCATTTTTGTACATTTCCTAGAATTAATGCTTCGATTCAACGCAAGTTGGTTGCATGCTCTCCTCTGTAACATTAAACTGCATGTACAGTATGTATTTACCGATCGAATAAGAAACCTGTTTACTCTGAATAATTGCGGAAAATATAATTTAAAGTACACAAAATTAATAATTTGTTTCCTGTCTGCAAGAACTAAATAACAAAGCGCAGTGCAAAGTCAAAGAACAAAGGAAACAATTGTGATAGGGCTTGTGCGTATATCTGAATGAATTATAATATTAATTTTGAAACAAATGATAGCGATATTACATTTATTAAACGACGTTTCGATGCTACAGCGTGCATCATTTTCAAGTAGTAATTACATATATTGCGTTGATTTTAATTAAACCGTTCAATTATAATATTGATCTATTTAATTAAGTAATTATAGTTTTTTCGTTGTATAGCAATATGCATAACATGTGCTGCCTATCTGAAAAGCATTCGAGACAACGAAGCTGAAAATGTCGATGAATCTGAGCCAGGTCTTATTGAGGTAAATAACTTATGATTGACTGGCCGATCCCTGCCTTTCCCAACAGCCACTTCGCGCGTCGCCTTCCTGCCTGAATACTTCATGTATTATATTTCAACCTTCTGGCCCTGGGTATGAGGCTGGGCACTATAAGGCCCTTTGGGATCCCGAGACTGCACGCAGGATACAAAGTTAATAGTGAGTGAGATGGAGTGATATATTCAATCTCTCAGTCAATTAAAAGTTGAAGAAAACTCAAAATTCTAACTGCTGTTCTTCAAACCATATCTCCTGAAAATGCTGGATCGATTTGGCAGGCTGTATCGTCATCTTCTACAATCAATAGGCTTTTTGGTATAAGTGAAGTTACAATGGCTGACCAACGTTATTTAAATGTTTTAGCTGAATCATATAAGAATGCGTCGAGCTGGGAAACCCGCAAGCAAATCCTATCTATAATGACTGATTTAGCAAGATATTCTGTAATCTCATCCTTCATTCCAGGTATTACTAAATACAGATACACGGCAGCAAATTTACATCGTTTGCAGTTCGGTCGCGGTGTTCCAGTTCCTGCCAAAACATCCGTTCGTGTCAGAGTAGATTTAAAACAGCTCGACCACTTCCTATCATTTATAACTAGCCCACATTAGGTTCAAGATCTTCCTTTTGGTCAAAAGCACCTCACGCTTTCATCTGGAAAAATCTTAGAAGTACCTAATGTGATACGTACAATGATACCACGACGGATTGTAGAACAGTACAGTAGATACTGCGAAGAAACTAATTTTCAACCATTTAGCGAAAGTACAATGGTACGCGTATTATCAGAGTGCAGTGCGTCTGTCAGAAAATCACTTCAAGGTCTTGATTATTTCGCTGCAGATGGATCACGGGCCTTTGACGAGCTATTGGCACTAATTCCCAAGCTTGTTGAATATGGTGCTACGGATAGGGAATGGGAAGTGAAAACAGCAGAAAATCTAAAGACTTTACTTGAAAGGAGAATTTAAGGTACACTAGACAAAAATTATTACTTACATTCGTCATAAGGGATTGCTCAAAAAGTACAGGAGATTGGGTCTTAGGCATTCCCCTAATTTGAAACTGAAAACGTCCCATAATATAGCATTCACGTTCCCCCACCGAAAATTTTGTTTCCCGGCCCTCTTTAAAGTCTTACTACTGTATACCAGTGGATTAAACAGGAAAAAAATGGGGAGTCGCCCATCCTATTTGTGGCCAAAAAGGGGTGGGCCAGGAAACGAAATGCACCATGCCAAAGAGGGTTTGCCAGCCACCTATTGCACTTTATATAGACCAATATTTTTTTTTTAATCATTTTCCCGCCAGGTGCATCTTGATAATGCTGATGAAGTAGCAGATCACTGTTTAGTCTTTTCCCTTAGTGACAGTGTATTGGATTTGAATATTTATTCGAACAGTCACATTTTTGTGATAAAATATGAACATTTAATGAGTAAAATATATCGAGATACAACTTGAACAAGAACTGCAACGAACAATTACACGAGGCACTAAAATGGATACACCAAACGTTCGAATCAGAATGCATGACGTAATATCAACTAATTCAACACTCCTTCTCATTCGCAGTTCGAATGTTTATCTACCTACTTAGGTTTTATTGCAACACCTGTTAGTTCACGCAGTTTCTTAAATTGTTCCTTTGGAATACCCTTCGTGAATAAATCAGCTAACATGCTACCTGTTGGACAGTAAAGAACAGTTAATGTTTTCTTTTCTACTTGATCTCGTACAAAATGATATTTGATGTCTATGTGTTTAGATCGTCCATGAAATTGTGGGTTCTTGGACATAGCAATAGCTGACTGATTGTCCTCGTAAATGGTCATTGGTTCATCAATGTTTACATTAAGATCTGTCAACAATTGTCGCATCCACAATGCCTCTTGAGCAGCTGCAGATAAAGCAACGTATTCAGCTTCAGCTGTTGATAATGCTACACAAGTTTGCTTTTTTGCTTCGCCAGCTAACAGCAGCACCATTTATTTGAAATGTATAACCAGAAGTCGATTTCCGGTCATTTAAATCACCTGCCCAGTCCGCATCTGAAAATCCAACACAATCTGGATTAGCATTCTCTGAGTAAAGTAGTCCATAGTTCACAGTTCCTTTCAGGTATCGGAAAATTCGTTTTACAGCAGTCCAATGTTCATTCGTAGGATTTGCAGAGAACTTAGCAACATTGTTAACTGCAAATGTTATTGTAATGTTGTAGTTAAACACTTTTATTGATAACCTCTCGTATATATGCACATGCAAAACTAACTAATAAAACTATATCTATTGGCGCCAAAAGTCTTAGTCTCAGACCCCGCACGCGGTCCACCTGCGCGCCAAGGCAACATAACAACAATGAGCTTATTAACTATATTATATCCCTCCCTTTGTCAGATGATAGTTCCATCTATTAATATAAACATTAACGTGTCCGAGTCACTGTTCCTTTGACTAATATGCTGTGGTGATGGGGGTTTGGTGCGGCAAACCCGGGCAAAATGTCCGATTTTCCCACAAGATTTGCAGTCCTTGCCTCTTGCTGGGCAAACTCTGATATGCGGGTATGTCCCACCGCAGTTTCCACAGGTTTCTCTGGCACGAGATTGCTCAGCGCCTCTGAAATTACGTAATTGTTGGTTCTCAAAACGCGATCTTGGGGGGCCTGTGGCTTCCGTATTTGGCTGTTGTATATTTCCGTGACGAACTGAATTTACGCTTGAGAATTCTTGTTGCTCGACTTGGCTGGCTTGTTTTTCGCTTAGTTCGATGGCTCTGCCGGTCTTCATCAGGTTCGGTAGATCAAGATTGTCACGAAGGGCTCGTCGGCGTAAAGAGTTGGACGCACAGGTCAAAATAATATGGTCTTTGATCTCTTTAGCGGAGTCGCTAAATTCGCACGTTTGAGAAAGATGGCGTAATCGAGTATGATAAGAATCAAGAGACTCGTCGGGTTTCTGTTTCGCTTGGCGGAAGTTAAAAACTTCGAAAGCCACATTAGTTTGAGGTGAGAAGTACTAGTTGAGCTTTTCCACTACGGTTTTGTAGTCTTCGTTGCTGCTAGTCGGCAGAGTATCGTAGATATCATCGACATCAGGGCCAGCGTAGTGCAAGAGCAAAGCTGTTTTTCTTTTATCAGCTGTGATGTTAAGTCCGCAAAGTAGCCGTTCGAATCTCGTGAGCCACTTTTTCCATCTTGGGCCAGCATTAGAGTCCTCGTGTACATTAAACGGTGGAAAATCTGGGAGCGAAGCCAGGGTTGAGGTGAGTTATAAATACTAGAATTCTGCGATATATATTA